CATATAAGACATGAATTGTACACATTTTATGCTCCAAGGTTTTCTTCATTCTTTTTTTTTTTGGGGGGGGTGAGAGACTCCTGCTGTGCTGTCTTTTTAAATATTTTAATGATTTTGTTTATTTTTAATCCATATTAATCAGAGTTGAACTCAAATAGATTAATATGCTATTTACAAATGTTAGAGATTTTAAAACTGAGATGAAGATAGACCATTAATTCTTTAAATTAAACTTTGTGTTACCTTTAGGCAAAATTCTTAGGTAGTTATTTTTTTTTAGGCAAGAGGGTTATAAATGTAAATTCATACTTATCTCTGTGGGGAAGGATTTTTGTGACTGTGCTATAGTAAATAAGAACATTGGCATCCACATGTTCCTGAAGCATTGAGGTTTCTTTTTGGGCAAGGCTGTTATGGGGAAGACTCACCAACTGATCTGGTTACCTCCTAGCAGGGGAGTACAGTTATTGAAGCTGACATTTGGTCCGGTCAGATAGGTTTGCCTCAACCTCTGTGTTATCTCTTACCTCTTATGTTCTGTCACCCGGGCTCTGCACATACTTAAAATAATTTTTCAAGATTCTATATGTGGAAAACCTAAAAATATGACATGAATATGTGACTCCTGTTCTATTAGAGGATGAAATGGTCACATGTGCCTAATTCACAGTTGTGCCATGTTTCCTAAAAGAGTTAGAGCAGTGCCTTACTCATTTAAGGGGTAATTCCCAAGAAAATCATCAAAATGGGAAATGGGGGAAATTCCAGATGTACTGTGCAATTGCAAAGGGCACTTGAAAAAGAAAATAAAGTTTGGGCTGAAGATATAGGTCCGTAGTAGGGCACTTGCCTAGTACACATGAGGCCCTGAGTTCAATCCTCGGCACCACAAAAAACAAGTAAAGAGGTAACAAGAATAAAGAGTTTTTTGGTGAAACAATTTTATGGTGAAAGTTGCACATCATAATAACTAATTATTAAGTAGTTTAATTTTTTTTTCATTTTGGTAAGTTTTTTATGTAATGTTCATCCTTCAAGTCCTTCATCTTTTTTTCCCACTTACTCTGTGATAAATATGAAAGCAGCCAAAGGAAACACACAATCACAGTCATGAGACAGCATTTGACAAGAATTAGAACAACATCCTGAGGACAAGCAGGCTGTTCACTCTGGGCCAGAGTAGAAAGCAGAGGAAGAGAAAGATCACACAAGTCCAGATGTGCATATTGTGACTTGGCATTGAGAAGGAAGCTTTGAAGGTGAGGGTATCAGAACGAGCTTCTTTATTCAACTTCAGGAGGAATTCTATGGAACATTCTTTAGTTAAGGGGCTCAGAATAAAATCACAGGCAAGGGAGGAACAAGTCAACTGGAACTGTCTACCATAGAAGGGACAGGGTCTTGAAACCTTTCTTCAGTTAACTCAGCTTCTCTTTCCTTCTCTCCACTATCCTTGTTCTTCTCCTTTCTGCTGGCTGGAGTTGGTAATTTAGTGAAGTTTCACAAGGGTGTTTTTGTGATGAGCCCTGGCATCTGTGGGGCTGGCTGTACCCTGTATAGGTTTTATGTTCTAAAAACTTCTATAGAAAATGCATTAAGTATTTTTCAGAAGACAATTTCTTCTGAAAGTGAGCTTTAGGTAAGAGAGCATCTTCCCTAAAAGAGAAATGTCATGTGCTTCAAGTAGAGGATGTTCTGTCCATATATAGAATTTAGCAAATAGAGAAACAAAAATAATTAAAATGTGATGGCATTGAATAGCTATCATTCTAAACGTATAGACCTGGGCAGGTGGAACTGAAAGATCATTGCCATCAGGAGGAATTGGTTTCTGGCTTTACTTTCTCTGGATTTTCTTTCCAGAAGCATATGACTGATGGCCCAGGGAAGTAGAGCGGATCTTTGTTCTAGTTGCAGCTCGCTTTCCTTTTACTCTGTTAAATTACGAACCACCTAGGCAGGAAGATGTAAGAGGAAACGCTATGTCCCATTCCTTTAACCGGCAAAGCAGACAGTGTTAGGGTATTAGTTTCCTGACAGTGGGAAGGAAATAAAGAGAATAGAAGAAGAGGCCCAGATTATATGATTGGCATCAGTAAGGAGTCCAAGGTTTATTATCACAAATCTAAAGCTATCTAGGTAGACTCAGTAGCTGCTGACAGGTATGTGGAAAAACAGTTTAATTAATCCTTTTAGAAATGAATGTGCAAATGTGGGTCCCAGATGCCATCTTTCCCGATTTACTGCTAAGCCTTTTCTCTTCCCTTTAAAATCCAATCCCTGTTACCTGTTTCTATTTTAGTTGATGTGACTCACTCTGCTCGTAATGTACTTGAAAACTTGCAGTCTTCTTCCCAGTTCTTTTCTTCTTGCACCCACCTCTTTTTCTCAGCTCCTGGTGTAGCCACGCTGATTCAGGCCATCTCACCAAGGGTCTGTTGTGTATCGGGCAGTGTACTGAGGATTCAGCTGAAAAACAATTTCCTTGTCCTTAGGAGTTTACATTTCAGTGAGGAAACAAGCCCATCACCACCGGTGAAGTAAGATAGCACAGGATTCAGAAGAGTCCAGCAGAGCAATTTGGAAGAGATAGAGGGAATTGGGGAAGGCTTTCAGTCGGGAAGCAATTTTTGGAATTAAGTGTCTCCTACTGTTTTACGTCAGTGTGTTTCCATCCAAGTGTGTTTTGATCCATGTAAGTTTATTTTGTATTTTTATTTTTTGTGCTGCTGAGGATTGACCAAGGGGCTCATGCATGCTAGGCAAATGCTTTGCCAACCAATTGTATTCCCAACCCTATTCACTTTTAATACTTAAGTTTTTTTTCTTTGTCCTTAAACGTTAACTTTTGTACTTTGATTCCTTTTTGTTTTGTTTGTTTTGAGATAAGGTTGTATATATTAGCTCAGGCTGTCCTCTTTGCACTCCTCCTGCCTTAGCCTCCTGAGTGCTGGGATTACAGGCATGAGCCACTGTGTCTAGCTCTTTAATTCCTAAAGAATGTGGCAACTGGTTACCATCTTGTTAATAACAGGGTTCCAAATATTTGATCAGGAAACACCTTTCATCTCTCTAGACAAAATAAACCTAACCCTTTACAGTGCTACAGCCTCATTACTATCTGAAATTCTAAACACTGTGGAGTCCAAACCATCCACAGCTGAGTCTTTTAGAGCAGAGCTGCTCACACAGCACTGGGATATTGTTATGACACTTGCTCTGATTCTGAAGGTCAGGGTACAAACTAATTTGTGTATTTCTAAGAAACTTCCAGGTAATGCTGATAGTGCTTAGAAATTCAGTGAGTTAACAAGGTTTTAGAGGATGAAAAGAGATAAGAAAATAAGATTAAAATGAGTGGGACTGGGAATATGTAGCTTAGTGGTAGAGTCCTTGTCTAGCCTGAATCAAACCCTGTGCTCTGTCCCCAATGCAAAAAAAAAAAAAAAAAGAAAGAAAGAGAAGAAAAAAATAGAAGGCATATTTTCTTCTCTGTACATGTTAGATGGACCTTGTGGGGTACCTCTCGTTAACTCTCATGTATTCTTTCCAGCCTCTTTGGCTTTTGTCCTTGCACCCAGAGCCAGCCAGTGATGTGACTGTAAAGTTGCTGCCCTCCACCCCCTCACACCCTACCCTCACCCTTACACCCCCCCACCCCCGCCCATTGCTCTGGAATCATGTAGAGCTGTGATAAGGTGTGCATCCACCTAACTGAGTGGTAGGTTCCCTGAGGCCCTGAGAGAGCACTGAATAATCAGAAATCCTGACTTGGCTGTGGGCAGAGTTCCTTTTGGCATTCTCTCTCCATCTAACTGGTTTGTGTAACAGTTGGGCTGCTGGAATGGTTTCTGAAGCAAGTCTGTTTCCTACAATGTGTAATCAGGAACTGGCAGAAAATTTATCTTTAGCTTTTAAGATTCCCGTTAGAAATTCTCCTAACTCCAGCCTTGGCAGTTGAGTGACCTGCCCATGACCTGCTTAAGGGCTGGCTAGAGTGGAATGCAAAGTGTCTCTTTATTCTGCTGGAGTGTTTCCCCTGGTGATTTTCTTTGGATCTTTTACTGGCTCCACCTATACTCTTCTACACTGTAGATACTCTTGTAAGCTAACACCAGAAGAGCAGTTTCCAAAGGCTGCCTGCTCCTGAGTCTTTACAACCAATGCTAGAAAGAATATTTCCTGGTCTTCCTGGGGAACTTTCCTGTGGAATTCCCCTACAGACCGATTGCAACAATGCCTGTTAGCTTTATGAGATCTGTCTCAGTCCAAACTGAAAAACCTGGGTGACGTCGAGCTGACAAGAGGAAGTTGAAAAATGGCCTTGTACAGTGGTTCTCAGACTTTAGCCCGAATCAGAACCACCTGGAAGGCTTGTTAAAATGCAGATTGCTGGGCTCTGAACCTCTAATTTCTGATTTTGCAGGTCTAGGTTGTGGCCTGAGAATTTGTTAACATCTTTGTTCCTTCCCAGGTCTTATAATTCAGGTACATATAGATGATAACCAGGAATGTGGTTACATGCATTGTTGACAATTTTCAACATTACTTCCCAGTCCCTTTTTTTGTTTGTTTTTAAACACTGGGGCTCAAGGACACAGCAGCTTTTCTGGGTAGCCAGTGCCGTTTGGGGTAAGCCAGGCCACTCCCTAAGACTTTTTGGACTCTACCAGGAGTAGAGACTTGATCTTCTACAAGAAGTATATGGACGCATAGGGTGGAGGCAGCAAGGAAACCTGCTTCCCACCTACCTTCCTATTAGCAAAGTAATATTAAATTGGTGTTAATGTTGAATTAAAATTTAAACCCAAAATGAATTTGAGTTTTGAACAGCAGAGTCAAGGCAAAGGAAGGGGAAATTTCGTTGATCTGGCATTTCCATTCCTCTGCTCCCTTAGATACTCTTTGCTCCCATCACAAGGATAAGGTGGTTGATACTGGTTCAGTTTTGTGAGTGTTTCTTGCTGTTGAAGGTGACTAATGCATGCTTTCTATTGAAGCAGTTCTGGAGCATCCCAGGAAGGACAGGATGATCTCGACCTTGGTCTTGGTGACCTGCCCTCCGATGAGGACGAAGTCATCAGCAGTTCTGATGAAGATGATGTCAGCTCTGAGTCAAGTAAAGGAGAGCCAGACCTGGAAGGTAAACAGGTATGTTTTGCTAATTGTTTCTACTTTTGTGTTTGTTGGTCTGTCCTCAAAAACCCTAGTGAGTTTTCATGAAACATTCTTCAAATTTATGTTTAATTACTACTATAAAGTAGCACTAAGATGTTATCCTGTTTCTAAGTACATATCACCTAGGGATTGTTAGTGATTTTTGAGAAATAATTTTCACTAATAACCACTGGCTTTTTGATAACAAAAATTCCTCTTAAGGCTGTTCTTCATACCAGTTCTTAGATTTCTGGAATGAAAGGAATTATATACATTTGACATTCCGTTACATCTTCTTAGGGACAGAATAAAGGTTGTTGCTACTAGTACAATTATAATTTGCTTTGAAATATCCAGAACGTGTATAAGTTTGGGGAACATGGAGATTGTCCATGTGTTGATATAATTGTTTAAGATGTGTGTCTCTCTAGTTTGGCATGAATATTTATCTACTTCATTCAAAATCACATTTCTTTCCATGAAGACATTATGAAAAGGATAAAATTAGTACAGGAGCAATATCCCCATGATAATGGGACTGTTATAACAAGATCGAATCAAAGGATTTATACAGCACATCAAGCTGTAGAGGAAATTCATGTCACCTAACTCTCTTAATTTGTCAATTCATTATGCTTCCTGGGTAATGTTTTCGCTCAAGTTAAATTCATTTTTAGTCAGGCATGGTGAAATATACTGTAATCCCAGCACTTAGGAGACTGAGGCAGAAGGACTACAAATTTGAGGCCAGCCTAGGCTACATAGCAAGACCGTGTCTCAAAAAAAAAAATTATTAATTAATTTTCACCCTTAAGTGAATGACACAAATAAAATTAGCTAAATTTGAGTCCCAGCTCTACCAACTCTGATTTGGGTGATCTCAAGCTAATTACTAACCTTTTGGCTTAAAGAGTGCCACTTTCTAGATGGCAAAAATAATAGTACTTCTAGAATTATGAGGATTAAGGGATCTGACATATGGAAAAAGAATACTTCCCAGTACACAGAGTTCACAGATTGTTTAATGCTAGCAAAACTTTATTTCTGTGCAGTAAATACTGGATAGTAGTGTTGGGAGTAACCACCAGAAATTATTTAGGCAGGTGAATTTGTAAAACTCTTAAGACAGATGAATGGCTGTTCTTCTTAAAGATTCATGGCATTCTGCAGCAATCTGTGGGTTTTACTCTGTCAAGCAATTCTTCCTGTGTCTTCTTGGTATCTGTTGTGCCCAGATTCGAAAACTCATTTTCCATGTTGCTTCTTCTTAGATACAGAGTCTACAGATATGTATAGAACACCCACCATGTCCCTGGTACCATTGGTATTTGCTAGAGATAAGCAGTACTCATGCTTCATGCTTCATGCACTCATATCCCAGTGGGGCAAGAGGGACCATAAATGTATAAACAGGAAGAACTCCAGAGTGTTACAGGCTGTGGAAGGAATAATGTGCTAGAAACAGTGGGAGGGGCACTTTGGATGATAGCCTCTGAGAAGGTGATATTTGACTGGTATTTAGATGACTGACAGAACCTGTGTAGAGTCTAGGAAGAGCAGTGAAATGGCCTCTAAGGGCTATAATTAAATCAACCTTTACTCTGTGTGATAAGCAACCCCATGTTCTTTCTTTTTCTAACAGATACTATCATTTGGGTCTGTTTCTTTTGCTTGAACCTTTTCCATTTTCTCCCCATACTTGAAGTGGTGGCCATAATTGGTTTCCACATTCTGCTGGGGATTATGTTGATACATGATAAAAAGGAAGGAATAATCTCTAACCTTGTGCTATGCCTCTTCTCAACTCTGCCTGTCCTGACACTGCCTGGTTGACTCAGTCAACCAGTGGAGACTCCCAGGGTTCCTTCCTCTATATTTGTCCCTGCTTTTTTTTTTTTTTTTCCTCTTCCTATATTTATTTCACTATTTTATGTCCTTAGTTTTGCTGCATTATGACATCCCTGTTAAATCTTTATCTTTTTTTTTTTAATGGGACAGTTTCTTCAGCTAGTTATGCATATGTAACATCTTTTAACCTGGTGCCAGTAGTTCTAATAATTTCTCTCCTTTATAATTCTCAGCCGCCCTGATGAATTTACTGTCTATCTCTTCATCTGAGACAACAATGGCAAGAATACAATACACTAACTCTTCCTTTCTAGGCAGATGTTAATACATAACAATGGCCTGGCAAATGCTTTTCTTCTAAGTAATTTGCTTTCATAGTAGTAAGAAGAATACAGTTCTTGGAGCCAGACTCTGCCATTTACTTGCTCTGTGATATTGAACAAAGTTCTCTTTGGCCTAGTCTCCCCATCTGTAAGAAAAGGAGGGAATAGAGTATACACTTGACTTTATTTTGTTGTGATGACTAAATGATATATGCCATTTAGAACATGCCTAACTGCCTAGCCTACTTGATCATAAGTGCATGACAAAAAAGTTCAACATTGTTAGCCATTAGAGAAACACTAATCAAAACCTCAATGAGGTACCGTTTTATAGACACTAGGATGGGTGTAATAAAAAAAGGTGGACAGTAACAAGTGTTGGGGAAGATGTAGAAAAATCGGAATCCTCATATACTACTGATGAGAATATAAAATGGTGCCATTGCTTTGTAAAACAGTCTGTCAATTTCTCAGACTCAGCAATTCCACTCTTAGGTATCTACATAAAAGAAATGGAGACATTTGTTTACACAAAAACTTGTACAGGAGTGTTCATATCAGCATTATTCTAATAACTAAAAGATGGAGAGACTTCACATGCTTATCAACTGATAAGTAGATAAACAGATTGTGGTGTCTATCCGCATGATGGAACATTATTCCATCACAAAAAGGAATGGGGGTGACTGGTAAAGGGTACAGAGTTTCTGTTTTGGATGCTGAAATGTTTAAGATTAGATTATGGTGATGATCATACAACCCTGAATGCATTATGAACCACTGAATTGTTTAAAGGGTAAAAAAAATATGTCTTATGGTATATAAATTATATCTCAATAAAGCTATTTAAAGAATAAAAGGAATCAGGCTAGAGGGAAAACAATAGAGCTAAGTGGATGATTACAACAGAGCATGTAATCCTATACATCATCTGAGGGGAGGCCACAAATTTGGCTTTCCTACAACCTAATTAAAAAAGCTGATAACAGTATCCAAAAGAAAAACAAATTCTTTGGAGTAGAAGCATAAGAAGAAGAGTTTATTTCTAATTTCCTTGGTCCTAGTTTCTCAGTTTTGTATTGTTCTGAGGCTCACACAGGATGATAGATGCAGAAGTTTTTGGAAAGTCAGGAGAGTTCATGCCTGTTGAACACATGTAATTTACTTCCATGATTGTATTTGTGATAGGTCACCCTCCTTTCCAAAGTGGCACAAACTTGATGGTTAAAACCACAGAATTTAATTGGATGCTTAAAGTCAGAAATCAAGACATGAACAGGGCTATACTTATCTCTGAAACCTGTAGGAAGGATCTTTCTTTGTCTCTTCCTAACTTCTGGTGGTTTACTGACAATTTTTGAGATTCCTTGGTTTACAGTTGTAGCAATTCATTCTGTGCCTGAATCATCACATGGTGCTGTCCATTCATGTGTCTCTGTTTCACACCAGTCATATGGAACTCCAGTACGACATCATTTTAACTTATCTGCAATGGCCCTATTTCAAATAAAGTCATATTCTGATGTCCTAGGGATTAGGGCCTCATAGGAAAGGAACACCATTCAATCCATACCAAGTGCTATATCCTTAATAGGTGCTATAGATGATATATGTTTAGATGCTAATAATGTTTTTTTGTAAAAGTACTCAATTCAGTAATAGGCAAAAAGAAAGAATATATAAAATTCTACCTTTGTCTTTGTGAAGGAAACACAAGCAGGAGTTCAAAAAATTACTCCTCCTGGTGTGATGGCACACACCTATAATCCCAGCATTCAGGAAACTGAGATGACAGGATTGAAAGTTCAATGACAGCCTGGGCTGTACAGGAGACCCTGTCTCCAAAAAGAATAAAATTAGCATTAGCATTGTACCACTCCTGTGTACCTGAGCTTGTCTCTGTGCTAAGGGTACGCGTAATTAATCTTGGTAATTAAAAACATGCTATGGTATAGATCTGTCATAGGCCCTGTGTCTGTCTCACGTGAAGACAAGGAATTTTACTTTTATTTTTATTTTTTATTGTTTTATTATTCATATATGCATACCAACACTTGGGTCATTTCTCCCCCCTGCCCCCACCCCCTCCCTTACCACCCACAAGAAAAGGAATTTTAGACAGTAAGTAACTTGCTTTGTAAACCCCTGAGATGGGGTTTTCCACCCAAATCTGTCTCTACTAACAAATCAGTACATCATTTACAGAAGCAGGTGACGCCCCAGGACACATTTGGGTGGGGTAATGAGCCATGCGAATCTCCTTTGACCCATTTCCAAATTTCATGTTTTTTGCTTTTTCCTTTCAATTTTAATAAGTATTTAAAAACTGAGGAGCATTGCTTTTGCTTCTTTGTGGTTTCTCTGCATTTTTGCTTCCCTGTCCTCCTTCAGGTCTTTGAAAACTAGCTCATGATTTTCCCTCAGGAAGGGTAAGGGTGAAAATTGAAGGTAGCATTATCCTTTAGGTATTAATCATGGTGTTACCTCATCTTTAAGGTGATGAAGAGATGGTTCTCAGGTCAGTCTAGAGGTTAATTTTGATTTTTTGTTTGTTTATTTATTGTTTTTGTTTTTCTGGGACAGGGTTTGGCTATGAAGCCCAAGCTGGCATTGATCCTCCTGCCTTAGCCTCCTGAGTACTAGAATTACAGGTGTGGACTACCACACCTGGCTACATTTTTTGTTTTTTTATTAAGTATGATAAAAGAGACCTTTTAATAATTATATTAAAAAGTAATAGATACATTTCACTGAACATTACTTGTAGTGAACAAATATGATAAAAGGTGAACACAGGAATTTGTAAGAGATTTTAGATTATAA